CGAGCAAATCAGATGGAGCTGAAGTATTTGCGTGACGCTGTCAGGCGTCACGCAATCAATTGCTGAAAATTATCTGGTCTTTGAGTCTTTCTTTTTTTCCCTTTGTAGGCTGTTTCTGGCTTATTGTCCTTTTGCTTTTTTATTTGGTCGTGGGTACCATACTGCTGCCGTTTTTGATCATCTACTTGTTGTGCCTTTGCATATGTTATCCTCTTGGCTGTTGTAAAGATGATAACGACGTAGACAGACCCATTTTTAGATCATAAAGTGGAACAATTGGTCTTCGCTTGACTGGGAAGCATTATGAACCATAAGCTAATGTCTGTGTTTTTGTAGTGTTTGTTCTTATTGGATAAATACCTTAGCTATTACAAAATCTTTCTTCTACTGGTTACCACACCCTTATCCGCAGTCACGTGATTATCCATGTATCTATCATAGTATATTAATTACGTTCATCGTTATTCTATTAAAGCAGTTGTGTAAAGCACTTGGTCTGTGCACGCGTTACTCTATAGTAGTATATAACGAACCCTAATACACAACAGATTTATTTGGCCGCAGCATGAAAAGTCAAACACTTTCTAAATCTCAGTGGGTTTGATCAGGGACCACACTCACGGAGAAAAGTGACCTAGCAAAGAAAAGGTATTCCTGATTGTTTTGGCCCTGTTGACGAAAAATTTATGCCAACCAGGTCATTGGTGACCTCACCTCCTTTAAGATTTTACATTAGCATTTGGTTCAGTGATCTCAGTTGACTTTGTTTAGAACAATGTCAAAAATTTGTCTCTTAAAGTGTTTTCATAGAGATAGCTGGGCTGAAAACTTGGGAGTAATGATCATTGTAATTTGCTTTTACTTTGAATTCACGAAAACATTGCACTATGACACCCCAGATTATAATTAATTTTCGTTGACGTTGAGTTGTAGTTGATCAGAATATTCATTGACTATTCATTTGAAATAATGTATGAGTATTGTAGTAATGAAAATTAAATAATAAAATTAAATAAAAACTTAAAATTGAAAACGCAATTTTCATCGATATCATAGAGCACACTGAAGAACCAAAGTAGTCGCAACAGCCAATCAAAGCAAAGGAGATTTTACATGGAGCCAATAAGAACTCAACTACAATCAAGGAAACCACTCTTTACGCGGGAAAACGTGAGCGACAAAGTTGTGGTCGTGGGTTTGAATCTGATTGGTTGAGAAAGTGGAACGGGTTTCCTGGACCAATCACATAGCGAGGCAAAGCAAAAATAAAGCAATTCCGTATTACCTTTAACACTTACTTGAAAACTGCTCTAATTGTTTAACATAATCTCAAGTTGAGATCCAAAATTGTTTTGAAAATTTTTAAGTGATCTGACTATTTTTTTTTCATTCTATTCGACTCCTCCAAGGCGCTAAGATGGAAACTTAATGTGGTGGAATTGATTTCCATATGGGAACTTTTTTTCTTCAATCCAAAGTCATTGACAATGTTTAAGGGTTCACTGACATTTATGAGTGTGAATTGTTTAAATTTAAGGGAGTCCAAAATGGAAGAATTTCATGGGCATGGGCTAAACGAAAAACCCGATTTCCAGAGATAACACTAGAATTTGACCGTTTTTTGCTGAAAAAAGGACATTTAATGCAGTGATTCCTTTCCTCTGAAACCTTTACGACGAATTTTCCGGTTACCCAGTTTATATTAGTGATTGATTTGCCAAGTATTGGATAACCGACGCATTTATCATATATTGTTGGAAACTGTACGATACGTTAATTATTATTAATTTGATTGACATATATAAGTGATTTCGTTTATCTTTACATAACCAAACGAACATTTATGCGGCACGTGTTTTATCGCCCTATATAAGGCACTGTTCCACGTGCTTGCAACGGGACATTTAGTGTGTGTTCTTTTCGAATAAGCCGAGAGTTGTGAGTAGGAGTTAACCGAAGCGTTGAAGTAGAATCGTTAAATCAAGTGAATCAACCGTGATATACAAAGGAAGCATGGTACAGCTTGTTCACGTTTTCGACAATATATTGTATATTTCTAATCCGTTTCTGCTATTTTAATTGACATGCACCATCTGGCTTTGACTACTACCAGATATAGTTTTTATATTTACATGAGTTCTGCGGCTGATTGTTTCAACCCTTGATCACATTCTCTTGGCAATGGAAGTGTTTAATCTCAAGTAAAGTCAAACTCTTGATCAGTTCGTTATAAGAGAAATGACAATTGTAAACTTTAATAAAATTATGTAGACTAACAATTATAAGACATCCCTCAACAAAGAAAACTGATAGGAGTAGAGGAGAATGTCGGGGGGCTACACGATCCACACCCCTTCTCAACAAATTATCGTAGCCAATCATTAAATGTCCAAATTGTATTTGACGTTCCTGATCTCTTGTTATGTATTTGACTGATCTCAGGCCATACTCCTAGACAATTGTCCGTAAAGATCTGACTTTCTGATCATGAATGCAATATTATCGCCTCTCACTTTTTGATATTTTTCGTGACGATTCTCAATGCTCCTCCGTATTGTCTGCGTCCACGGTTTTCAACCGAGTTTATCCTGGAAGGACAGTAAGTCAAATTCCTTAATTGTACGTGATGATAACACGTTTCCGAAAATCTCCGTACTCATGCGGCATGCGAATTTTGTAATCGCCTTTGCAAGGATAACGGACTCATGATGTAATGGAGAGCAGTTAAATGGTTCAGTAATCGACAACCAAATTGTGAGCGGAATCTGTTTGTAAACCGACTTTTCTTTGACGGTACTTCAATAGTGCGTCATCACCTCGGAATCGAGAGTATCCTCGCTTTCAAAATGAGGCTAAACTGAGGTCTGGACTATCCTCAATACACATGAACAACTAAACCCAGGACCCCCAAACCGCGCCAAGACATGACCCGTCACCATCATCGTCAAAAGAGACGCCAACTTTCTTGGTAGAAAGAGCGAGGTATGACAGAATACCGGCACTGAAGAAAACTGTCGCAACTACAGCCGCGATGATCAGGAAAGGAAGAATAGTTAAACTTGCTACTAGGTACACGATGGCCATAAAGAACGTCAAGAAAGCACCTGAAGAAAAAAAAAAACTTTGCTAAAAAAAACACACATTAACCTATTAAATATTGTAGCACTGAGCTGGCAGTACGGCTTATGTTCCAAATGTATTTCCCAACTCCTCGCACCGATAGAACCAAAGGCAGGGTCCACAAACTCTCAATTGACAAGTTGAGAACGAAAGCAGATTGAAAAACGTTTTCAGGCTTTGCAGCTGAATTACTGTCCCATTTTCTGGCGCTAAAAGCTTTAGACTCCTAATCTTTTCGCCTGAAAGTAAAATGTGTACAATAACCATGAAGACGGAGAAATTGCCTCAATACAAAATTCTATAAATATGATAGGAGAACATATGAGTCGGCGAATTCACCCTTCACACTCCAATGTCATTATGCATGTTCTCCCTACTGTTCTTTATACATTTCCTAAGATGCTGACAAGGAGAATTTGTTTAATGATCAAAAGTTTCTTTTGTTGGTAATCATTTCCTTTACTCTCATGACCTTAATGTGTGATTCAGGAGTGATATTGTAGGGAGAAATTAGATGCTAATCACTCTTAGGGGCGAAAGGGTTAAGGATGCAAATACATTCGCAACGAGGGAGAGCAGGAAAACGCCTTAAAAAAGAGATAGAAATCGAATCACCCCTTTCCTTTCTCGTCATGACACAGAAACAATCCGACTTGTGAGAAATGAACCTTTAACACTCTGTCTTTGGTATTTATATTCTTTACAGTCACAATGCTCTCTTTACACTTCCTCCGATATACTGCCGAGAAGAATTTGATTTGACGATCAGGAGCTTCCTTAACTAATAATCACTTCCTTTTTTCTCATTACAGGGTCTTGACCGTTATATTTGATTCGAGGGTGATGCTGCAAGGACAGATTAGAACGCACTCTTCGTGGTTAAAAAATAAAACACACTCACCTTTGCCCAGAAGGCTGTACCACTGGTGCTCTTTGCTGACACCACAACAGAACACAAAAACTACCAACCAACATGGTGCTCGCTTTCTTTCCTTCGCTTTCGCTTTTTCTTGTTTGCTCCATACGTTCACCTTATCTGTGCTTTTGGGAAACTTCGCCTTGGGTTTCGAGAACTTTCGTTTTGGGTCTGGCGTTACTTCTCCGAGTCTACTGCTTCTTTCGGAGTCTTTGAACTTTGTGTCTGTTTTAAACTTTGGTTTGACTCTCGGAGAGGATTCTTCTGTGGTTCTGATTAGAAGTAACAAAAACATTCTTTTTAAGTGGTGTATACCTTTCGAAGTGGCGTTGATGTGACCTTTTTTAGTGGGCCTGGGTTTGCATAGCTTTTAGTTTTCGATAGAATTTGTTTTTACAATCCTTTGACGATTTAAGAGAGACGGGATAATCTCATCTCTAATTGAATTATTCTCAATCCAGAGATGCATAAGGCGATGCATATGCCAAACTTTTTAAAGCGCTGTTGGTTGTAATAGGTAAAGACCTTCTCAAAATTCTTTCAGCTTTGCAGGAAGGCTCTTAAACTAAGATGGCTTTGAAACTAAAGGCCGGCTGAGAAAACAGAGACTAAGAAAAAAATAAGCAAACCAAACAAAAACTAACAAATAGCGTTATGGTTGAAAATTGTGAGATAGATTTTCACTTACTCTCCAGCCTCTATACATATTTCAGTGTAAGACTTGATTGTAATTAGACGTGGCTGTTTGCTGAAAACAAAATACACCACATAAAAATTTAGAAAGTTTCAAGGTAACTAACTATTTTCAGTCAAGGCCAGACACAAGCTGAGTCACTGAGACTGTTCATCCAGTTGTTTACACCGGACAAGTGCTTTAAGCGAATCGGTTTGCAATATGCGAAAAACAAAACATCTCCTATGTTGTCCACTTGTTACTAGAAGAGAAGAGTTATTAGAAGAGTTACTTATTGAAAATTTACTCCTTACAAACCTTTCCTACACTGGATGTTGCATCAGATTGTAAGGATAAAGAAAAGACGATAAATTCTTTATGATTAGAGTATGAGTGACTCGAAAAAAAGATGTTTCGGTTGAGTAACACCAAATAGATGATGACTTTTATGGCTAACTGTTAAAATTGTGGCTAATTCACGGCTTACGGTTAATATCTTCTACATGTGGTCACCAGAAAATTTTTGCTGTTAATTTTTTAAACAACTAACTGTGTAAATTCCTCAATTTTTACGCCTAAGAGTTAATTTTTGGCCGTTTACGGCTAACGGTTGAGATCCACCGCCAATTGTCATGGAACAGTGAAATTTCACTTCTAACGCTAAAGGAGTGCCTCCCTTGAGAGCATCTATGAAGAGTTCACGCTAATTAGCTGCATTGATTTTAGCCTTGTTTACAATAAAGCTAATCACATCATACGCTTCTGTTTATTTATTCTATACCTTTCCGTTTTAGTACCTTATATTCTTTCTTAATCTTTTAAGTCTCTTATCACTTCACAAAATCTCACTGATCCAACCAGAAATGTAGATAGAGCGTTTTATTCTATTATTGTAGCTGTAGCGATAGGAGCAGAGTATTTTAGGCTAAAGCACACGCAGCCACTAATATGTACTACGTGCTCTTCTTGAAGATAACAGAAATAACTATTGACCGTGTTTCTACACCTTTCATCTGTAACGAAATAAAAATCTGCTTTCGAAGTGAACGCCGGTGTTTCCCTTTTAACCCTCTTAAAATTCCTCAGTATTACTCGGTCAGATTAGTAAAGAATCGTCTAAAAGCATGAGGTGTTTATACAACTTTAATCAGCAACGAAACAAAAATATGCTTTCGAGGCGGACGCCAGAGTTTCCCTTTAACCCTATTAAAGTTCTACAGAATTACTCGGTCAGATTAGTAAAGAATCGTCTAGTAGCATGAGACTCTACTTACACATCCAACCCAGAGTCGTTTGGCGATTCCACATCTGTTCGATTATTGTTACCGTCTTTGCTATATAGGCTGTCGTAGTCCAGGTCTTGTGATGTGTCTTCTAGGTCTATGATCTCGGTCATCGTGAACTCCACTATAGCAGAAAAGATCCTGGCTTGATTCCACCGGAAGTTCGCTCGTCTAGCTCGTCAAGAAATCTTTTTAGCAATTGGGGAAAGCTAAGCACCAAAAATAGTCACGTCATGAACCTGCTTTCAGAGACAGTCACACACGTGGAGTTCTTCTTAATAAAACCTCTTTCCAAACAATTGAATGACAAAGAAGTGAATCACTTTGGCGCAAACTCATGTAGCACGACCTGACAGAGAAATATCTGTTCCAAAAAAAAATAAATTCTAGGAAAATTTTTCATGCATCCTCGCTGTGTTTTTACGATAGAGGTGTGAACGCACAAATAGCCTCTGCATGTTTTGACAGTCTTGAAGAACAATTTACCCTCTATACAATATCACACAATTATTAGGGAAATGAAGACAAGAAAGTTTTCAGTTAAGCATTGACTTCTCATCAATACTTAAATTGTTTCAGCGTTGTAATCATTTTAATTGAACGTAGTTTGAAGGATTCACCTTTCAGGCTCCGCACTGAAAAGGTCAATTAATTTAATTTCTCTTGAGGGACTTTTCATGCACTCTAGATTTTAATGATTTTGAAGGAACATTTTGTAATCATAATTCTTAAATGCCTTCTCAGTTCACGTTTGAAATTTGGAGGGAAATCTTTAGGCTGCGGCATGATTCACAATCAGTTCCAATTAAAACATAACCTCTCACAGCTTTTTGCAATACGATAATAAGCTGTGAGTAAAGGGAAATGTTAACATCAAGTTTTCAGATCGCAGGAATGAAAAACTTTAAGTCCTCCAGTAGAATTTGAACTTCAAACGGGTTACGCCTTTTTAGCACCCTGAACTAGCTTGCAGTAAGTTCTTTGGCAACTTAGATCGTACGTATATCACATGTATACAAATACTAACGTCTGCAAGAAGCGCTCTAGGGAAAGAGAGCGAATTTAATGTCAAGAAGTTACCATGGACTGCTTAATGCGACGGCAAAATACACAACATGAACAACATCAAGGTACTTCTGATGTAAAATATTTAATTAGGCTTTAGGCGAATTTTTTTGGCGCTTATTAGCTCACCAAGAGCTACCTTGAATATGTCATTTCCGACCGGTGGGAATTATAGAAACCATGACAAGTTGCACGTCAAGACGTAATAACTAATAGTTAGTATATAGTTGATAAAGCTTGAGCTCCCTTGTGATGACGTTATGTTCGCTATCGCAAAGTTTTAAAAAATTTTACTTGTACGCGAACAGAATTTGTAACGATTGTGACACCCAAAGCTTTTATCAACAGTTGCCTTGACTAAGCAGACAGTTTTTCATTTCCGTAATATTCTGATCGTATTTCTTTCTGTTATTTCAATACCTTTTCAACCTCGACTCAGCGTATCCGCAATCCTGGTGTCGACTAGGCCTGTTTAATCTTTCTGCGTTAAACATGGGTTGGTGCTTAAAGATACCGTTTGTTTCCTCTCAATGGCCGTGCCAGGTACGGCAGATATTTTTCACAAGAATGATATAATTAAATCCTGGTGTGACCTTTGTGATAAATTGAACAGTTAAGCGCTCTAAGATTTAACAAGTTCATGCGTCGTAATTGGTTGTGAAAGCAAATGTACGGAAGTTCCACTTAAATATATCATAAAATTGTCAGATACAAAAAAATTCTTTGTTGAATAGGATTGTCTGACCTGATTTTAAAGCATCATAAATATGTCTTAAAGCAGTAGAGGTGTCTGTTTTACCACATTATGTAAACGAACGTAAACTTTCTTTATTTAATTTCTTTTTAAAAAGAATAGAGACGTTAAAATCCACCAAAAGGGTTTATAATTATCTCTCGACTCTCTAGTCCTGAGTGTCTTCCACAATAAGTCGCCGTCAAGCGGTAATGCGACGAAATCCTATTGAACGGCTCTTACGAGACTGATCATGGGGTTAATTATTGTTTGAATATGGTAAAACAACAACACAAACAAACCGAGACGTGTGGATTTTGAGCAATAAAAAACAATTTGACGAAGGGTGCAACTTGATCCCATGAAAAGCTGACAGTAAGATTGAAATAAGTCAAACTTTAGCTTCCCTGTGACATTTCTTCTGGGCTTCATAATTTTGTTTCTTTCCATAAAATGAGAAAAAGGTAGCAGCTGACATTTTGACATAAACGCAAATTTGAAGCGCATAATTGACGTGATGAAATATTGCCGATGGAAAGGTGTCGAGGAAGGTAACGCACTCCTTGCAGACAATTTCACTTGTCTGTTAATGGTTCAGAGTTGGAGCCTTAACAGCCTAAGAGTTCATAAAGCTTTGATGAGAGAGAGAAAATTTGCGATTCTTTGGTGCCAAGTCTGAGCACCAAGAAGCGTAACTCCCTAGGAGATTGGCTTGAAGTTTATCCTTTGTCCGCAACCCTTAAAAATATTTCGGTGATTGAACTATGCAATAAATTTTTATATGCAGCTGCATCTGTCAGAAAAAATTTTAAATGAGATTTGGCATTTTATCAATTCTTCTCTGATTATGTTGTGGAGAGAGGCCAATTCTTTTAGCGACAAAATTTTGTTCACTAGTTATTGATATCAGCCGCAGTTCAGCGGGTGAGTTATCCTAGAAGGATGGGTATTTGTGAGTTCATTAAATGGAAATTTAAGTGTCCCACTTTCGAACTTATGTTGCGTCTGGCTCTAAATGGTGCAACTACTGGCTCAATAAGTTGTGGTAACAAAGTATTAAGAAGTTTTTAAAGAAGTGAAATGCATAATACGACTAAGTCAAACCATTAAAACTTACCTTTGTTTTTCTTGTAATCGAGATCAGTTAGTCCGTTTAGTTTAGATGTGCGCTTCTCTGGCCAAAATTGCTAGGGTCAAGAAAAAAACATGAGACTCTACAAAACTTTAAACTTTAACAGAGCCAGTTCGTGGCATCTTAGTTGTCGAACAGTGCAAAGACGTGCAATATGTCGGAGAAAGTATTCCAAACTCGCTAATCTGCCAAGTTGTACAAATGCTTCCTAGTACAGCTTATTAGCCTTTAGATTACGGATACCATTTGTATGCAAATTTGTCACAGATTTTGACTGGTCTATTGATATTTGAGTAAACGTCTCAATGTTGCGTCATATATCTCTTAGAGACTTCTTTTCTGTTGACATGTATGTCGCAAAAACGTCAATTACTTTTTCTCTTCACCGAATCCTCTTTGTCTATCGACGACACAGGAAGCGGGTCCCTACTTTCACAATCGACGTCCATGTTTACAACCAGTTGAGAAGATACTGTCCATTTGTCTTCTGCAAATTTGCAAGAGTGGTTACCAAAATATTTTCTAGCACTTAAGATTGCCGAAGATGCAAAAGCTGAATCTCGATCGCAAGGCAAAATTGTGTGTTTTGGCACATTTATGGCCTGGCTTACCATGGAATGCTAAGTGGTTTTGAAGTTAGAGCATCTTGCCGTGATATTGGAAGGTCCGCGGTCCGACGTGATCCTTACGGGGGCCTCAAATCTTTTTCTTTATCCTGCTCGCTCGTATCAGGGCTTACCAGTTTTCTTTAAAAAAACTGGTTGAGAGGAATCTTAGTTCCTCAGTTAATTAAAGTGTGTGCAGTTTCCCACGTAATATTAAATCTGTTGACATAAAAATGACTTTTCTTGGCTGGGAATGACGTATTGGTATTTGAAACTTCAGTAAATAAATAAATGAATGAATAGGTTAATAACAGGATAAAATAACCATATTCTAACAGTCCTTACAGGTTACAACTAAAATGGCAGTCTTAGGCAAGTGCAATTGTTGGGTCAAAGTTGTGAAAATGTTTTGTCTGCTTAAAGAAAAGTAGACCACCTTTCTTATAAAAAAAGGTTTGCAAGGAATTACCACGTAAAAACGATGAGTCATTAGAAGCTGACGTCTCTGGCATTTTTAAAATTTCCTTCTACGTTGACCTTTTGAGTGATATGACGTCATTCAGAGTGCCGATTGTTGTATAAAAATAGTCTTTTGTCTCTGGTTGACAGCTGAAAGAGTTGACTGTTGGTTACAATTTCATGCCAGTTTATAGGCTATTTTCTGCTTGTACATAGCTCTCGACCAATGATCCTTGAAAAATTGGTGGTACTCTCTGTTTGGTTAAAAGACCCCTTATCGGTTTCTCGTGAGTTCCAGATAACAGTTTCTTCCCACTTTCGCTCGTCCATATTTACTACATCACAACATTTAATCTTCTCATGTTCTCATAAACACTCGAAACATTACATCACTTGCTGAGGCATGCTAAACAGAACCTTTGTGCAAACTCTAAAAATTTTCTTCCCTGAGTCGCAGGTATGGTTGTTTCGGGTCAGGAGAAAGTCAGGGGAAAAAATATTCAAGATCAGAGAAAAGTAAGGGAGTATCACCTTTACGGTCTGTTTCCTTACTTGGAACTGGTTAGCTCAAATGACCTCCACAAACCACTTAATGTCAAGCCAAGCTTTAACAACTATTCGATCTAAAAGAAATAAATTTATAATTCGCAATCAGAACAAACGCAAATCAATTCTTTATCTCGTTTTTAAATTAAAAAACTTCAATGTAAACTTACTTCTGTGACGGGTCACGTCACAATAGTCTCACTTTACAGGTTAGCAGATTCTTCAGGTAAGCGGATTTAGAGACAGAAAAATAAAAGAAAATAGTTTCTTTCTCGCCTCAATTCTGCTGAAAAACTGATTTGAAATATAATAATCTAACGCTTTTAAATCAAAGTATAGAACTAATGCCAATCACGATTCTTGTCATCGAATAAATCTATCCATAAGAGGCAACGCGTACTTGATAAACTAGACACGGACGGGGAAATTTACATCTTTGAAAGAATTCGAGGTCAAGAAGAGTGAAGAGTCATTCTTCTTGTCTTAGCCCTTTTCATGATGAAAGATCGTAAGACCTTTCTTTTTGTGTTCTCAATGTGACTCTTGTTATTGCCGTGGCAGTTGTGGACCATACGAAAAAAGATGGCTCCGCGCGTAGCATTCTGGGAAAATGTACCACTTTAATGTAAACACATAGTTTCGCAATACCAGGAAGGTGTTAGGTGAGGCTTGTAAAAAATGCCTTTTAAATGCGTTTTTGGTGGTCAGTTGAGTCAATAAGACCCTTACGTTTCACCAGTTTCCAAAGGACGATGTGAACGCCAGAAGAAGATCGACCTTTCATCAAAGCGATAAACATCCTTGCAGTAAGTCAGACAAGAAATTCTATATGAAAGGGGGGAGGGGTGGGGACAGGTGGCTTGCTGAAAAAGGGATTTTAGTTCAACACATCCTGGATAATCGGGGTTGGGGGGTCAGATTAGAAACACCAGTCAAGTTGGAGGGCAAGAAACAGTTTTCTGAGGAAGAAGATATTCACAATAGGAGAACCTCACAAGCGAGAGGTCATATATAGAGAGAGGAATTAGACGGGTTAAGGTGTTCAGAATCTTGCGAGAGAATACCCCTCTACGCTACTCACAACTGAAATCCTGTCACGGAAAACGAAAAACGAAAAATGTGTTCACAGGAGGGTAAAAAGCAGTGCAGTTAGAAGGGAGTAAGAAAGCAGATATTATCGCAGGAAAAAATCCATCAGTCGTGAACCAGAAAAGGAGATCAAAAGTCGTAACACAAGAAGTGCATTTTGAGGAGGGGTTCAAAAGCAGTGCATTTTGAAGGAGGTGTAAAAGCAAAATGTATTGTGGCGTGCTATCATGGTAAAAATCCAACAGTCGTGAATCACAAAAGTGAACATGTGTCGAAATACGAGCAGTTTTTTTTTTGAACGCTATAGAAGACTAGCGACATGATCTCACAGCGTTTTTCCATTGCGTGACATTCTCAAGGAGAAACAGGAAATCAATTACGTAACACAACAGGAACTTCCCCGAGGAAATGGTCATCAATTGCCATTGTTTTCAAATCACATGATTGCCGTATGACAGGATGTTGTCAATAAGACGAAATTTTGTACTAGATAATTCAGCTTGACTTTAAAATGACTGGCAGTGAAACTGGTATATCTGATTTGTGCGATGAAGAGACATGTGACACTGGTTTTGAAAAAGATGTTGACGTGGAAATCATTGATGGGTTTTATTATCAAAACGTACCCATTATGAACGACAAGGTCCGGTTATTTGCTGACTATTGGATGAAGTTGTATTCAAATTGTTGTTTACAACGAGATCATGCGGTTCAATTACTAAATGACGACAAAGTTGAGGAAGCTAAAGCTACTCTTGAAGATTGGCCAGATTCATTTGGGTCACCTGATTTACCACAGTTATTGTTGGAGACTCTTAATGAACCAAAACGAAAGAAGCGATCGCCACTTACAATTGAGAGTGATGCTGTTTCACTTATCCACCAAATGAAAGAGAATTACATCAGAGGAAAAAGATTGCACTTTGATGTTCCAAATCTAGTTCCAGAAGGCGAAGTTTCGTTAGTCGAGTATGAGAACTACATCAAACATTGCGATGAGTGCTTTAAGACTGTCGAAAACTATGTTATTCAGAATGCATTCGTGTATGGAATGTGGCTCAGTCGAGCGTTTGAAAAGTTTCAAGAAGAAAAGAGTATGAAGCGAGTTTCTGGTAACTTCGATGATTGGGTTGATTCGAGATGCAGAGTTAAGAAAACAAGAGCTCGGCAACTTAGAATGTTCTACAAGCTTTTTAGTCCTTATAAAAAGGTGTTAAGGTGTAAGTTACCATTTATATGGTTTGTAAGGAATGGTAAAACCGTGGTTGATTATTTTAAAAGTCATCACGAGGCAGCACTATCATGGACCCATGAACTAGACTGTGCCTGTGAAACTTGCAAGATGTAAGCTGACACAGCTGTGGCGTGACGTTAAAAATGGTCGCGACATAAAAATAAAATCTAGTGCAATATTGTCTAATTTTCATGCAGTAAAAATAACATGCAGATATCAACGAACAATAAAATGAGATTTTGGAGAATTTTGCTTAGGGTTAGATTGAGAGTGTGTTACATCAGATCAACAATAATCGAAAGAGAAAGATCCATATCAAATTTATTTTAAAACGAATATTCAAAATTATGAAATTACAATTAA